CTGTAACCGGGATACGGTCATCTTCCCTATAAACATGAAAAGGAGAGACAGGAGTGATAGGGGGTAGCAGATTTCGTAGCGAGTTAGCAGGAACTGCCGAAGAAAGTTTCAGGATCGCATCTATATCAGTTGGTGTTGGAGGTAAATTGACCTCGGCTTTAGCTGCATATAACTTTTCGTCATTTGACTGTGAATCTTTTCGTGCTGTCAAAGAATGATCTATCGATGAGGTGACTTCATTTGGAGGGGTCGGTTCACCTATATGAGTGGTTTTGAGTTCTTCCCGTGCTTCCGCCACGCAGGATTTAGAGTCTATTGACTTTTTGTTCGCACATTCTTTCTTACAGCCAAGGAAAGAGATATCGGACGGTGTCGATGTCGGAACAACAAGATCTGACGTGAGGCGATCCAAATTCAAAAAGTTCGTTAATTCAGATATACTCATTCGGCCTTCATTTGTCGGAATGGGAAGATCCATTTTCGTGAATAGACTACAATTAAAACGCATTCGGAAGGTTGAAGTGAATAGCAAGGTCGGCAAGGATGGGAAATACAGTTAGCACATCTACAACCTACTTGTTACAATAAGAGTGAAAATGAAAAACAAGATACGACAACAAATCAAGTAACAATGCTAGCTATCGAATAAAGCCGAGAAATAGCTAAATACATTAACAATGGTTTTCCAAATACTCTGTGATCTCTATATAATTTGTATAACTGATCCTTCGATTCTTGCAGTCTCGAGTGTGAAGATGTAGAATCGATGGTGTAAATAACTCCGTGAGTCTTAGATAACAGTAGAAATAGTTAAGCACAAGTTCCATTCCCAGACTATACTTTGTGCAATGAAATGTTTGATCATTAGAAGACAAACCTCTGCAAAGTAATTCTCCCATAGACCTCTTATCTTCTCACCGCCGCCTACATCAAACAGTCGAACAGTACACCTACCAATCTTGATTCGCGCAAATGAAAATCCTATGGTAGGCGAATACTTCCGCTCATCACTTTGAGCAGCTTTTGGTCGGTCTATGTCTTCATCCCTTAACTCTCTAAAAGGGCCGACTCTAGCGGCAGCGCGATTCGATATAGAAGCACAAGGAAGACAAAGTGAGAAGAAAGACCTGATAGCCGAAGAAAGTCTGTTGGAATCGCTCCAACGAGACAATGATGAAATCAAACTGGTTTTTCCGGAATTATCTAATCCAAACACAGAGATTGTCACTTCAGGATCTCCTTTCCATTTTTTGGGACCTATACTCCGCCGCTTTCTTCTGTTGATCGTCCTACGTGTAGATTTTCTTCCGTTCAGCATTCAGGCTTTCTGGATTGTGTTGTTGTGCTGTTGCTAGCAATGAATAAGTAAAGTTATTAACAATCAAATTTCAATAAGATTTTTTCGCAAATGCAGTAGCGCTGTTGGGTTACGGAAGTGAGATACGTGGAGGTTAAGGTTGAACAATTAATTGGCAATCGAAAAGGAAATCCGCAAAGAACGAGACAACAGGGACGCGAGAGCAATGAATGAACTCGGTACGAATGAATATATTATAATGGCAAGTAATTCGTGCAACAGAATGTAAGACACAGATTATACAATTATCCAATGCAAGTGGTCATCTGGTTAGGGCAACAAAAATAAAATACAGTAGGTCTGGTTCTGTGCATTCAATATCTATCGTCACACTGATTTCTGCTGTAAATCTTGGGATAGAATCAGTACTTCCGCGTCATTATTAGACAAAAAGGCACGAGGCAGATATGGCTGAGAGGACAAAATCAAGACTTCGTTGTGATTGGTGCTCAAACCTCCTGAAGCCTGGAGTGGGGGGTTTATAGAGTTGGCGGTTTGGTCCACTGATGAACATAGAAGATGAGATTGATTTACTGTCTCAGGAATGGCTGGATTAAAAGGTTCGATGTAGGTGGCCAACGGATCACTCGACTTGATATCTGAGTTTGAGCTACTTTTGTAATTTTCGCGATTGCCGACTATAAATCTTTCTTTTCTAGTTCTCAGCAAGCGACGTCTTCTTATGTAAAACATTCCTCCAATGAGCAACGCAACAACACCTATTACGCTCACAATTATAGCGATTAATTGGTCAGAAGAAACAGCACCGGGATCCATCTCAACATTCCCCGTCGGCGCGGGACATTTGGAGGCGGTAAAAAGAGAAGTAGAGCAAGCCGGGGGCAATTTAGGTAGACATGTAAAAGGGTTACTGTCAATCCTGCATTCTTTCAGAGAAAGATCGGTGATTTGAGGAGGAAGGGATGTAAATGAATTTGAACGGAGATCCCTAAAGGTATGAAAATGCAAGTCAGAACGTAAAAATAGAAAATTGGCCACCTCATGATGAAATACGCACAGCTCACGTAATGATTGAAGGTTGCCTATATTAGTTGGCAATGCTCCTTCAAAAGAGTTAGTATCGAGGGTGCTAAAAGAATAAGAAGAATGGAGCATTAGACAAGCGCTTGAGATTATGTTCTATACAAACTATCGAGCTTACAGAAGTTCTAAATTAGTTAGTTCGAAGACTTGGGAAGGAATTTCGCCTGTGAAACGATTTTTCCATAGATACCTGGCAATTAGAAACGTTAGATCACAGGATGATGGTGGCAAAAAGAATGGAGTACATACAATGTTTTCATAGGTTTACAACTATTTATTCCGGTAGGGATAGTTCCTGAAAAGCTATTGACCCCGACATTCAACCATTCTAGGGAAACAAGATTCTGAATTTCGGACGGCAAAGTGCCGGTAAGCTTGTTGACTCCGACATTTAAAACTGTCAGCGAACGTAAGTTTCCAATAGCGGAAGGAAGGGTACCAGATATCTGATTTTTGTCGAGTGCCCTTTCGAAAGCGTCTAGTTAATGAAGAGATCCGAAATGTCTATATGGAAAACACAAACTTACAGCTGAGTCAAGGAAGTTAATAGCCCAATGTTATCGGGAATGGTACCAGTGAAGTTGTTTATACCTAACGCCCTGATGGAAGAAAAATTGCTGTCAATTGGTTCCAGTCAATGCCGAGCACTCGAGTAGTTGGGAGGTAGTACAAACAGGTTTTGTAATCTTTGCAAACTCACTATCTCAGCTGGTATCGAGCCTGTCATCTGATTTTGGAACATATTCCTACAAAACCTTCCATTTAGCACCGATTGACTACAACATCCGATCCAAAGAAATTCTCATCCAGTGACATACAATACTCGCAATTCTGTCAAACTTGCAATCGCATTTGGTAGAGTGCCAGATAACCCTTCTCTTCCGAGATAAATCGAAGTGACAGTCTCACTGGACTCGTCACAATGAACTCCTTTCCATGTACAGCAAGCACCTCTAGCAAAACCGGCGGCAGGAACAGTATTCGTCCAGTTTGTCAGGATAGTGGGAGGACGCAGTTGATCGTGGATTAAAGCGAGGATGGCACATTCACCGGCGGACATCTGTTATCAGTTTTTTTCTTTTTTCTTGTTAAGAGCTATGAAATAAGATACCGCCCAATCCCATTTTTTTACCTCCTGTTGAGGCGACGTTGGATGGTAGGGTATGATATTGTTCTTCGAACGCGAAAACAATCGACATTCCCTAAGTGAAAGAATTTGTCTGAAACAGAAATAGGAGTTCATATTCCAAAACAGCGTTTAGTAGATGCAAAGTGAAAAGATATGTCAACTTTCGGGATATGTTAATATGATGTGGAAATAGATCCTTGATTTGTCGTTGATTTCACTGATCGCCTTCTCCCCCAATACAGCTGGGCATAGCGTTATCATACTTTAATAAATCGGAAGATCTCCATTGCCACTTCACGATTTTTAAAAAATAGCTTCTTTTACAGGGATATAGATAATGATGTTTTCTGTGGGTGGTAAATGTGGTAAATGAACTGGCCAACCAGTATTCCCGCTCAACCCCTATCTGTATCCAAATTGCACCTCTATTTGTATACAAAAGCATTACAGGGGGCCCGTTGATACAATAAGACAGTACTATGCCCATCTATATGTTATTCATTGAATTCTGTACAATATAATAACTATTCCTTCAATTAACCGGCTCCAGGCAAATTGCCACGTTGTAACTCAAGAGTGCGCCCAAAAAGACGGGATCTAAGAACACCGAATTTACCTAGTTGTCAACAGAAGCAATACCTATCAGTTTTACTGAAATCAATGGCCCGAAAGAGAACTGGAACACAAAAACAGAAAGAATCAAAGGTATTTCTTTGACCGTTTCCATGGAAGGCGCATGAAGTGAAGTTTCTTTACAAGTTAAACCTAACTGCATGTCCTTTCCCGCCCGGATTAGGAAGAAAGAGAGAAAAGGCTGCTGGCTCAACAGAGAGCCAAAGAGCAAGCGAAGAAATATGTCATTCCTTCCATCATTGCTTTCCTTGTTGTATTCGCTCTACTTTTTTTCTTGCGATATGGACTTGGCACTAGTTCGTCCCCATCACCTTTTGCGCCCGCATCAAAACCAAATACACAGGATGGAGCAACCGAAGAAGGCGATCTGGATAAGATAAATTGGGACATGTTGGCTCAGTTTATGAAGGAAGATGGTACCATGGATACAGATAAATTAATGGAAGCGGCTAGAAAGTTGGGGATTTCGGGTGATAAGCCTGATGTGTCAGCTAATTCGAATAAGGGAAGCGGAGAAAGTGCAGATAAGACTGGGAATGTCGTCCCACAAGTTGTCAAAGATGAGATATGATGGAGTTTTCTGTCTCTGTAACTAATAGTTCGTGTATAGTAGAATCAGTAAAAATAAACCCTAGCTATGTAACTGTGAACTTGACCGACTTACAATGCCGTAGAAGACTTTTCTGCTTGAGTTTGGTTTTACCACCAATCGGACAAGAGATTATTACTGAATGACATACATCATGGATTGGAATTCAGAAGGTCTGTTATTTTAGCAGAAGACATGTATATACTGTATGATTACATAGGTTTTAAATTCAGCCCCGTGTTTCAAATGCGCAGGTGGTTCAGTGGTAGAATGGCTGCCTCCCAGTTTGTGAGAGCTGTCGGCCCGGGTTCGATTCCCGGCCTGCGCAATGACATTTTGACCAGCGATGTAACGTTTTGCCTGCGGGTGTAGTGGAAACACTGGATAACAGTGAAATATAATATCCAAAATTTCGGAATCTGACAACTCGCTCTGATAGTGGTTCGAAGCATTCCAAAGCAACGTGCCAAGTAAAAGGATATAAAATGACGGGAATAACTTTATTAATTTCATTAAAACAAATTTGAATATTGATGTCTACTTTCGGCCTTCTGTACATACATCAGCGAATAAATGCATTGAGTAGTTTACACAATTTCAACCACTGTCTTTCCTTCCAACATTTCCTTCTCTTTCTCCACCCAAGTATCATTATTGCTTAACTTATTACTCTGCTCTCTTTGATACTCTTCGGCTTTCTTGGACTCTCGTCGATGAACAAATATTAAACCAATACCCATAATCAGCCAGTAACCGAAATAGGACACTGTAGTTGCAACGGTTGCTTCCTGTTGTGATTGTGGTAAGAATATGTTGCATGATTATTATTGATGTCGAACTCAAACCAGAAGAGAAAGTAAAAGCAAATACGTACATGAGTGTAGCCAAAGATTGCTTTCATAACACCGAAGAATCCATTTTTCTTGGGATTGAAGGTTGGCTACCAGAAATTATTTAATCACATGTTAATATTCAAAGGATTAACAAAAGGGCTGTATGAAAAAAGAACTCACATCTTCGATTTCCCATAACTTCGCAGTTTCTCCGGTGACTTCTTCGATTTCATGGGCAGCTTGAGAGAACAAACCTGCACCAATGAATAACAGGAAAATAGTAGATACCATGAAGAAATATCGAATAGCCAGGACTGAACCAGCGCGGTAAAACATGTAACCAATGAGGGAACCAGCGATGATACCAATAACTGCTGGAAGAATGACACTAGTGGGAGGATATTGGGAAGATGTCTAGTACGTTATGAACAAAATCATGGTAAGAATATAAGGTTGTTAGAGCAACTCGACGAGCGATGTAAACAAATGATAAATCTAAACATACCCCACCCAAAAGCAAGACACTCTCCAAACCTTCTCTCAAGACGATAGTGAATGGCAGAAAGACCAGTGCAAATTTCTTCTTTTGTACATCGTTGACACTGTCTGTGGCGGCTTGTTCCAGTTTTTTGGCCCACTTATGTTGCCAGTTTTGGATGCGTAGCATCGTAAATGCCATAATAGAAATGATCAGGACAGCAATATACATGAAGACAGCTTCAAAGATGGGACCAAAAGCGCCATTACTGGAATGCCAAATGTCTACTTTTGCGATATGCCTGGAAATTTTATGACAATTTTGATTGTTAGCCAAGTCATTCACCAACGCGACCCAAACGTCAGAACGAGATTAATAGCATACCAAACCACCACGAAAACAACACCGATGATAACACTGAGTACGACTCCAGCTAGTGTGCCTATCCAAACTTGTCTCTTGAGTTGGCGCAATAAAGTATCATTATTGACGACCAACTTGTTGAGGAAGGCAAGAAGAACGCCAAGAATAACGGCAGCTTCTACAGTTTCCCGAACTACATTGTAAGATGAGTGAGCGTTAGATCAACTTGTTCCTTGCTTGCTCTCTGATACATTGTCTTGACAAATGAAATGCAGGAAGACATGGGGGAAAACGCATTCAAATGAAAATCACTTACGGAAAATAAAAAAGGCAGGCACAGAGAAGATTGTGTTTGTTGTGGTAGTTGATGAGTCTCCTTCAGTCATCCTTACAAGTTCAATGTTTGTTCTTGAGAATATTTGTTTGTGTTGAATAGAGAAACTTGTTATCACCGTGTTGTGGTCTGCAATCAAAAGGGGGGAATGGATCTGATAAATAGACGGCCGAAGGAGAGCCACGAGGCCGCGCACTTATCTGATGAGAAACGGATATTGAAGGAACCAACGTGTCGGGCTGAAATTCGGAATCAGTTCCTTATCTGATTGGTCATTTCTAATCAGGGATGCAGAATGGGCGCAAAAAATCAGAACTTCAATTGTTGTGAAATGGAATGAACCGGAAGACTCCCATAGATGCTGTGCAACAGCTCTCGCCGAAAATGAAAAATATGAAAAATTGCGGAGACCAGCATTGATCTATGCGATGAATTGCAATGTGATGGATTGTCGCATATTTCACTACTGTTTCAGCCTTCGAAATACTTGAAGCTACAATCTGAGATTGGAAATCACATAGAGCGATGATAGAAGCATTTCCTTTCCCAGAATGTTCATTCAACACAGATTAGGATTTTCAACTGCTACCCTGTTATCTGATAATTGATTCAAATGCTTGGCACCCGAATCACATCATTGCCCAACTGAAATACAAAATAAACCGATGCATCGGAAAACACACACATAAAATCTCGTCATTTGCGTTCAAACGCCGTCAATTCATGTGCAAGAACTTATATTGTTTGTTTATCAATATATGTTTATTTCAGAAATAATTTGTAAGATCATGGATCATGGTCCTACAAGATAGGAACATGTAATCCATCAGATTTAGAACCATTCTAATCAGAGATAATTCTCCGGAAAGTAATGTAGAATCTCTTAAGTTCTATACGATCGTTGACAGTATCTTTATATGCTCACGGAGTAACGAGCAGCAATCCTTTTGTTTCATCGTCTTCAGATTTCTTAACCGACCAATTCTAAGCTGGCAATCCATGGCGGGGTACCAGGGGGTAGCTCACCAACTATTGTCGTTTTCGTCAGCGTCCGGAGTTTTTGGCCAAGATAGGAATAGTTCGATTTTGCTGCTTCTCTTACCGCGGCATCTACGAAAGAGTCAATGTATATCCCACATGTGCAGCAAAACGGAATGCAATTTACCAACGTCATCTTTCTGCCCGCTGTTAATTGACATATTTATCACCGATGGCCTTTTTGACTCCATAATTTGTTGTATTGCGAATCTGATTCCTTGAATCCAAGAACTCGGAAGGTTTGTCTCGTTTGTGGGATAATAAACTGCAGCGTTGCTATCTGTTAACGAATGATGTCAACTTTACAAATAGGAAGTTTTGTCAGACTGCCTTGATTTATAATAATTCCAAATTACCTAAAACTTTGATGCCAATGACTTTCGCTTTCTTGGCCACCATAGCCGCAATACCAGCGACACGGGTCCCTGCAAGAGATTGATTTTGTCAATATTTAGTGGTATAGAATAAGACAACATAGATTATAGATGTATCATGAGAAATGTCTACCATGTCCTGCTAAATCATCGTTAGCTTCAGTCGATACAAAATTGGCAATAACGGACGCTCGTCCTGCGAAAACTTCATGTGCGGTGTATATCCCACTGTCAATCTACGGTAGTCCTTAGTTAAAAGCGCTTGCACCGGTAAATGATTGTCTATAACGAACACATACTACATAGATCTCCACACCTTCCCCTGCTTGTTCAGGGTAACTGTATTTGTTGTCCATGACCCCATCCAACTGATCAAGATGCCAAAAAGTGCCATCACTAGGTAAAGACTGGCTGGTTATGTTACTTCTGTTAGAGAGTTGACTAGCAATAATTGCTGGTAGCAGTCCAGAAAGAGTTACACAAAGTGGCAGCAAATGCATTTCAAAATACAGCGCAAAAAAGAAAAAAGGAATGTATTTATAAAAAAAATCAGTGCATCACATTCGCAGCTTCTATGTGGATTAGTTGGGACCTAATTACTCGCGCATGTAACTCCTCATTTTAAATTGCCTAAACGCGACGGGCTGATTCTTATAATAAGCAGCGTGCAAAATATGTCGCATCGCAATATTCTTCTTTAAATTTTGCAACCTCTAACAACCAATAGTATATTCATACGGAATAAAATTTATTTGTGTTTGCTCTGTAGTCATCAACGCTTATAACCAGAGGTAAGTACCAAAGACCCGAAATTTTGTCGATTCACTTCTTGAGTGTGCGGAATTATTATCTTCGCCAGAAAAAGGGAAATCATGGGACGCAATTTACATAATTTACAGAACGTTCACGGAGAATTATTACAAACATATGAAATGAAGAAATTGTCGGTTTTTATGATTTAGGTAGCCCAACAAACATTATATGTTAGGGCAAAATATAAATGCCGTTTGTTAAAAGTGTATTACTTGACGTGGAAACTACATTGTTTTGGAAAAGAGAGATATATCATCGAATACTGAAGTACGTACAAAGAAGAAATGCCAAAAAGGATGCAAAGTCCGGGAATCGAACCCGGGTCTACCGCGATCCATGAACTGGCAGGCGGTAATTATACCACTAAACCAACTTTGCAGATGCATGCTCAGGACAAATACAACTTTAGATATCTTTCAAACCTGAAGGTCATTTCTAGAATACAATCCAGCTTAACCACTCAGCATCTCGGACATGATGCAACTCACGTATATACATTGCAATTCGAAATATATTGCAATCCTAAATATATACAATACTAAGTATCATATTGTATTTAAACATCTTCACTGCCTCACAATCTTCATCCCCTTCCAATTCCCAGCTTAGACAGTGCTGCCACGCTGCGTCGTCAAGTCCTGCCAATCTCATCGTTCCCATTGACAATATTTCTGTTTCTCGAAAAAGAAAAGGATGAACAAGAAAAGAAGAAGCTGTGCAAAACCTCCACAATTTCCGATAAATGAACTGAAAAGAAACAATAAATAAATACTACTAAAACCTTGAATGTGATAGTGATACTATGGTTTAAACAATCTAAGTAACATATTAAGTAAATCAGAATATCGAAAGAAAAACTAAGCTCTCATATCACTTTCCAATGCATCATTCCGAATCTCCCATATTCCAAGTTCTCCAGCTAGGAAATCTCATGGGAAAAAGAAATAAACGAGCATGTTATGACTGAATGTAAATTGACATCTGCCAGCAATCGTTGAAAAAAATCCTGAGCACCAGCTCAGTTCTTTTCCTTTCCAATTTTACCACTTTTCACAACTGCAACTTTCTCCTTGCTCTGTTCTCCGATGAGTTTACTTTTCGGGGCGACATCGACGGGGTCTCTGATCTCTTCTTCTTCACAATCGCTCTCATCATCACTCCTCGTATCTTCTGCACCGCCTTTCCCTTTAACAACCTTAACGACAATTCTGGCTATTAGGTAACCCCAATATAATATTAATCCTTTCAATCCGGCAAACAAAACCACAAATCCACTAATCACATTATCGCTGAGGTAGGCGCCGTTGGAGGGATCGTAATTCATTTTAATCGGTTGCTTCGATTGTGCTTCCCACGGCAAAGACCATCCATATAAATCGAATGGGATGGAAGATACAACCAATGGATACGCTATGTGCCGAGATAAGAACCAAACGAGTACGAAGAGACCAAATTGAACGTCACATGCATTGGTGTAGCCCAAGTACTTTAGGCACTTGGCGCTAGACAGGAAAATATCAGCGACATCCATCACAATAAAAATCATGTTCCCTATTCTTGTGTAGTTCATAGCATAGCTTCCAGCAACTAGACAAATGGTGACTATATGATGAACCAGGTATTGCACATAATCTTTTCGTGGCTTTTCAATATGCAATACAACCAGCTGGGCAATCGAAAAGGAAAGTTGTAGGAGGTAATATGACTTGAAAAGGCCGCTGTAGGTTTTATGGGGGTAGTTGACCCAGAACAAAGTGAAATTCGTGAAGTACGGAGAGTTGTATGCTAAGTAGAAACCAAGAGAGAAAAATGTAGTGTAGTAGACGGCGAGCCAAGCCTGCTCTTGGAATCTGGTAATCATAGCGGACGATCTTATGTTATGAAAAGTTGCAAGTGGCCGGAATATATATCGCATTGACAATTCTCGAATTAATAAGACGACGAGAACGTAGAAAAGAGTGAAGTTGACATCTAGCGGGCCATTAGTATAAAGTTGTTTGTTTTCCAAGTACGAGGCGAATTCATCATTCGGAATTGGTGTGTCCGTCGGGTAGGATAGGGTATAAAGAGAAGCACAAAACTGAGAAACGAAACTAGGAAACAGATGTGGCAGATGTCGGGGTAAAATAGCTACAAGTATGAGTAGCAGTGGAATATCGATTTGGTGATTTTGAATGAAGCGGAATATGGGGTGGGGTTTCCAGCCCGATGCAGGATGACCGTGGCGAGTGGGTTTCTGTGGGACTTTGGACTTCATCGATGCTGCGTTGATACAGTAATAGATATGGCAATTTAAATAGAAGTAAAAGGTACCGAGAAAACAAAAAAAGGACGAATCAGTTAGTCATCTGCAACGATAGCATTCGGGCAACGTCGAACGAATGAAGAAAGTTGATAAATCCAACGAATATAAAGCCACATTAAACAAATATCGTCAAAAACACAGCATATTGCACTCCGGTTTGAAAGTTTCATTGTCACTACAGATTACAGCACATTTGAAGGTTGAAGGAGAAAGATATTTTGAGATTTGTGATGCCATTATACTTCTGCGAAAGAAATATATCTCGATTCCATTGAGCTGCCCAAAAGATAGACAGCACCAATAAACATGTGGAATTCTCATCATCGCACAATATTGAAGAGTAATAATTTCTACGAAATATTTTGCATTGGTGTCGGCTGTGGGAAAGAGGTTACTCACCCATATCACTTGACTTTTGCGGCGATGACGGTATGAGGGATTCTTTAGAATCAGTGGGGCTCATTTCAGAACTTTGTTGAGAACACAACGCTAATTCAAATCGATGTAAAAGATATTCAATGAAGGAAGAACGGAAGAGTGACGAGTGATGACAGAAAAGAAAATTTTGCGAACGAGGAAGGCAACCAAGCTGCAACCAGCAGGGAAGTCACGAGTTGATGATGGTGCGACAATACAATGAGAAACGACAAAAATACCACAACTGCGGATTGATAAATTATGATTTGTCGAGCTTCTGTTTGTGTCATATAAAATGTAATTGAGATTTATGCATAACAGTTGCAAATGTAACGTCATTTTTCATCAAAGGCTTGCCAATATTGGGGAGAACAACGTCCCTCTATTATCCATCAAGTTTATTATCAATCTATAAGAGGCCGGACATTCTCTTTTCTTTATTTTGAATTTAGATCATATTTTACAATCCGCTGCAATATGTTGCATAAAGATAGATTCACAAGAAGAGAAATTGAAATTAATGTCTTATATGATTTGAATGCATTGCTTTGACGATTGGTGGGCATCGGAAGCGTGAACCAGTACTAGGGACATTGCTTTTCCAAAAAACATTTTTTAACAGCTAATATATACTATAAATTCCTTGCATAACATCGGCCCGATGGTCTAGTGGTATGATTTTCCCTTAGGGTTGCATCCTTAAATGAGGATCTCAATTTGGGAGAGGTCCCGGGTTCAATCCCCGGTCGGGCCCTTTTGCTTTTTTGTTAGCTGATCGCCTTTTATTTCCGTGACTTATGTTGTTTCTTAGGAAAAACAATGAAACTGGTGTGCGTAGTATGTAATTTAAAGTACATTCCTTTGGTCTTGATCACAGGAAGAACTGTTAGAGAAGTAGAGGGGCCAGCGATCCGATGTTCTTGATGTGTTGCAAGGCTGCAGATATTAAGGAACCAGGCATTCCGTTGTTTGCAACTTTTCTGATTCATACGGTTTAGTTGTTCGCTCCTATCATCACTTCCTATAAGCTTATGCAAGACTAAAAGCTTCCGGTGGGTTCAAAACGGCCGAGTCCCGAACTTTTCCAGGGCGTGCAAGTGCAAGTGATAAATATTTTGCGAACATCGAAGGGACAGAGCAGTAAAACCAGGGTACAATCCCCGGTGGGGCATTTAACTTGTTGTCAAGAGCAGAGTGTTTGCTTTATTTTGTCTCGTGGCATATTGATCTCTAACTTATATATGAGAAATGTCAATGTGATACTCGGACTGCAAACACTCATTAAAGGACATTTAATTAAAACTTATGACCGTTTAATCAATGTAATACAAAGCACAATGCTTCAGGCACCGGGCATGATAGTAAAATACTCCACAGCCGACAATCTCTTCTTATATACAGTTATACACATTCACAAATAGAAATTTCTTGATTTACACTATTATTCAATTATATTGGATATATGTAATTTGCTAGTTACTAGTGCAAACTTACATTGTAAATTTAAGTTTCAGAGTTACTTTCTACACATTAATTGGTGGTTTCAGAAGGGTTCCAATCAATTTTTTGAGGTCCCAAATTAGAGCATGAAACTTCTCTGTATTGCATTCGGATGACACCATCTCTTGTATTTGCAATCTGTTCAAAGGCATTGCGATTCAAATCAAAATGATCGACATTAGTGTCTCTACACCATGGATTTGAAATACCGTATTGACCAGGTTGCTGCTCATTGATCGGATGCCCATTGCCAGGACAAGCTAAGAAACGACATCTTCTGTTAATATATTTTGTCGGACATGTTTTACTTCATATCTTGAAATCTTACCATCAACTACTTCAATGACTACACTGCTATTTCCGCGACAGGTTTTGTCTCCTCCATTATAAGCAGGGAACTTCCCAACGCATCTTATTTCAAAGCATTTACCGCAAGAACCTTGTCCCGGACATTTTGGATCGCCTCCATGTTCATTTGTGGTACACTGAGGCCCTCCAAAGATACCGGAGTGGTCCGAGACTGCACCGTACCAGGTACTGCTGCGCGGAGTAAAATTCGGCTTCCGGCTCTGTACACAGGCCAGGTTATTCGGGTTAGTCGGTGCTTCACCATTTCTATTTGAAGTAAGATAAGTTATTTTGTTCCTCAAAATTGGCTAAAACGTACGATACTTACTTAGGGTAGAAGGTAGACCTCCCTACTTTCCATTGGCTTTGGCCGAGTGCGAAGCCACTGAGGGCAATCAAGCAAACAAAAGAGATCAAAGTAGACCGCATGTTATGTGTGTAGAGTAATGTGATATATATAGTTTTATTGGGTGGTCAGCTCAGCTGTATGATGCAATAACAGAGGACGATGGTTTCTTTTATAACTTCTCTGAGCGGATAATTTGCGAAAGATCAATTCAAGTGAAAACGGTAAAGCGCTCGATTTAAGCAAGTTTCTTGGAAACGTTAGATGCGTTTTATTTGGGTTTGCACAATGTATCCTGAATATCGTGATATCTTAGGTAACGTGATTCATCTCATTAATCGCGGAAAGCTTGTTCTAGCTTCTTTAAGCAACCATGGACTTGACCCACGTGCGTGGCTTCGACTAGAACTTCATTCAAATTAGACGATGAATTTAAAGCGCATTATTATCTTTGCACATTCAGTGTTAATGGTCTCGTCAGCTATTTCGCATCGTTTGAAGGCTTTTTATTTCTGCCGTGATTGCGATGCACACACAAAAAAGCGGAGTAAGCATTGCTGGCTTCTGTTTGTGCAAGTTCTATATTTACCTTATATCACAACCCAACCAAATTCATGCACCACACAGGATACTCGGTGAAATTGATTATTACAAGAAATTAAAGTCGGAACATGTGATATCTTGGTAATCATACTTGAAAAAGCTTCGATGTTTACGTGAGCGCTTGCGTTAACAGATGTCTGGTTCAAAATATCTACATGCAGTTTACACGACCCAATCCCAACTGCAGTCATGATGTAATAACATCTCTCTTTCAGTCTTCCATTCGTAGTCAACAATGTTCTTTTCTAACGTCCCTGTACTCCAGTGTTGGCTACTGGCTAAAAAATCTGGCCTAACTAGTTTAAATCTGTCTCTTAACCACTCTCCTTCATCCGCCCGTATATATATTCCCTCGAGATAGTTATCTGCAAATACTGAACGCCGTTTGAATAGTTCGGTCCAACCTCGTTTTGATTTTAACGATTCAAAATCAATGTCTGGGAGAGAAGGAACTGTAGCTATGCGTGTGTTAGATAGGATGGAGTGAAATTTAGCTCGAGATAAAAATTTGGAATTTGCGACATCGAAAATGTCGAATGCCAAAAATAAATCGGGAAGATTGGTATATTTGATGCTATGCTTCGCAAAGCACCATTCACCAAATAGAATCCGATTGGTTGAACATTGCGAAGTTGGAGAATAGGTACCAGTGAGAATGTAAAACAGATCAGAACAGTTCTGACTAAGCCAAGAATTGAGTTGTGAGAACTGAACGTGGGTATTAGAGAATACAAAGTGAGACCGATTTTGGACTCGGAATTCTTTTGTCTGGGGATCAATCGAAATACCGAGATTTGCACCGTCAATTTTTTCCTCAAGAACTAATTGAACTGACGTTTTTGAGGTTTCGCAAAGAGGTTTGACGATTGCATGGACAAAATCGTCATCTGCAATAACTAAATCGTCTCGAGAGACTCCACTACCGCCCGCGTCGAATAAATGTCGGGTCCTAGGAAACTTGTACAAAATGGTACGGTCCAGAGTTTCTATTTCGTTGTCCCTTGATATATCTCCAGTTTCTACGTTTCCTGCATCCACCCCGGTCCAACGGCTAATCAGCTCTGTTGCGTCATTAAAACTCTTTACAAACCACATTGATTGAAAACCTTCGTTCAAATGCGGTTCCTCAATAGCTTTGGCGAAATGCTTAACTGTCGATTCGCCCCGCTTGGAATTCTCTTGGATAGTCGGATGGCCTCGGCGATTCTTCACACGATGCTTGCAAGTGGCTTCGCTTGGCGTGAAATATACACATCCGCAGGATTTTGGATTAAACATTAATTCTATGAAATACTTGCGATCTTCACGAGTTGGATTACACCGATCGAGAACAACGGTTCGATCTGGAGAGAGATAACGAGATTCTGAATACAGAGCATCCTCTACCGAGGAACGACTACCAAGGACGTCTTGATTTATGGAGACAAATTTGTGCGTACTGCTCATGGTTGACGAAAGCTGAACTAGCGAGTTCGCAAACCAGCTCTTGCCTATCGCTAGAAAAACGAGAATGGAGCATGTTTTTAACACCAATTCACGGAAACAAACAGATGAAATAAACCTTACCACTGCCGGGAAGACCCATTAGAATCAAAAATGATGGTACTGAATCCGGTTTTCCAAAACACAATAGACCATCCTCAGCAGGACTGTCAGTCGAAACTTCCCTTACGGGTCCGGATTGATTGCATTTATGTAAACGAGCCCAAGCGTAATCGACGCATGTGCTTACAAACTGTTCTTGTTGATCGGTTTCAATACTTCCGGGTCTCACCTCCCTAAGCCTCTCAACTGCTTCCTGTCCCGTCATAACCGGCATGACCCAATTCAAACACCCATCGTGGTTGTCACAACTAGAATTGAATTTCATTCTTCCCATCTCATCCGATGCTTTCAGACAAGATGTGCAAAGACTGCCCCGGAAACGGTTGAAATCCGAATCGAACGAGGTAACATGCAATTATTGTCCCTGCTCTACCTTTGCCTCCTCCGCAATGAACCAATGTGCCCACTCTATTCTCGTTGTCGTCGGTGCTCGAACACCATATCTTGTAGAGCTCCCACAGAAAAATATCAACTTGATCGATAATAGGAGGCTCGTAATTTTGAATTGGCAAAAACACATTTCGAGTGCCAAAATCAGTGGTGAACCATGTTGGTTGAAGCGGTTCTTCTTGTGTGAAAGGAGTCCAATTTTAAGTTCTGAGAACGCAATTATATCGGCTGAATTTCGAGGAGTCGAGGCACCGTAAAGAAAAAATGGAATGATGGAGCTGAAATTGCGAGGTAAACGAAATAGCTTATCGGTACCAAATGGAAGTAAATTGGTGACTACACTGTAACGATAGATGTTGTCATTCAGAGGCGGACTGTAACGAGAATACTGGACTTTCTGTCTAATTTGTCGAAGGATGGAAAAATACAACTGTCGAGATTTGCTGCTGAGTTGAGAAAAATCGATTCTGTAATCCACATTCAAATCATCCTCGTCATTTGTGAGGACGTCTATTCGGCAACCAATAAGTTCACCATAGTCTTCAACCGCCTTTGTCAGCACTCCGAAAATATATGACTGAACTTCATTTCTTTGTTGGTCAGTTACGTTGTCCTGAATGGTATGTATTAGTGCCCTGTAACAGGTTCGGAGAGCCATTCTCCAGTTGCCCAGTTTTGCATTTGAATCAGCGTAACGGAGAAGTGCGACTTGAGATTCCGGTTGAATTTGGAGCATTTGTATTGAATCCTCTATTGCTTCGCTATACCTTTTCATTGAGAATAGCAAATGCGACCTTGCCGAGAGTAATTTGACAAGTAATTTTTTGGTGTCAGTTTGCTGCCTTGAATGTAGCTTCTTCGACATGTTTCTCTAAATCATCCCTGGACTCCATGACCACCTGCATAAATTTCAATAGGCCAGCTTTCTCCAGCTTGTTTGCTCTCTCTTTGGCCATTTCGTA